TTGATCAAAGACCCAAAGACCTTGCTAATAACAGAAAGAAGACTGATCGGACGATAATTGGAGGGGTAAGAATTTTCTCCAGAGTTTTTGAATATTGGAACCACAGATGCCATTTTCCAACACGCAGGAAAACAAGACTCAGTCAAACACTTGTTAAATAGTTTAGAGAGAATTGAAGAAAGTTCTGGAGAACAATTCTGCAAGACTGAGGCAGGAATGTTGTCTGGACCACAAGTTGTAGACAAGTTTAATTGAGATATGACTTTAGCTACAGAAGCCGGAGTGGTTTGAATGTCTAACAATGGGTCAACCTGTTTGACTGGAATGGAAGGAAGAGAATGCTCATAAGACTCAAGAGTGGAATTAGAAGAAAAGTCTTATCCTTATCCTTGGGAGAGGTAATAAGATCAGTCCCATGAATAAGAGATGGAATGTTAGATCTACCCTTGTTAATAATGCTGTTGAAGATTTTCCAAAAGTCTTTACAGCCCGACTTCTGTGATAAGATGCGAGATTTAGTGAACTGAGAATAATGGAGTTTAGCATCAGAAAGCAACTTTTTACATCGATTTCTTGCAATAATAAATAGCCGTTTGTTCTCAAGAGAGTTGTTCTTTTAAAAAAGATGAAAAAAACGATTACGAATGGATATAGCAGCCGCACAAAAAGGAGAAAACCATGGAGTAGAATGAAGCTTGACTTGAAACCGACGAGAAGGAATAAAAGCTTCCATTCCAGCCTGAATCCAGGAAATTACGTAGGAGGCGCATTTATCAGCTGAGTTAAACGTAGAAACGCAGAAGTTAAAGACTTTATTGCCAGCAGGATCAGTGGTGTTAGAGCCAAGCCATTCAGTGTGATGGGCATTAAAATCACCAACAACAACAATATTGGCAGAGGGGTAAAAAGAGAGGGCATGGTCAATTTGATCAGAGATAACATCTAAAAGAGTGCAATCATGGGAAGAAGGAGAACAATAAAGAACAAAGAGAAAGGTGATAGAGTGAAGGTGAAAGCACTTAAAAGAATGGTCAAAGGATTCGAACCTGACTTCACGACAAATAGGGGAATTAATGCGTATGTATACCCCTAAACCTAGCATGTGACTATTGGAGTCTTCACGAATCAAAGGATAGTACCCATCAACACTGACATCTGAAGAAGGAATTGCAGAATTTAAGTTTGTTTCACTGAGTGCAAGCAAGTCTGGTGAATTTTGCAGGAGGTAAGACTCAACTGACGGAAAGTTGCTTCGCAGACCGCGAACATTTGTAAAAGATATATAAAAACATTTAGGTGGTGGGGATGGTTTTTTAGGTTTAAAATTTTTGGTTACTTTGGTCATGATTTGGGTTTAATGAGAACTTGACTCATTCATAGATAGAGCACATAGAGCTCCTTATGTGGCCTTGACAATGCACACTAAAAGCATTAACACCATCCATGCGCAACATGGCACTGTTAATACTCTGATATTTTGCAGCTGTTGATGGAATTAGCCCCTCTGAGAGCTACCACAGAGTTCGAGAAACCTTACTACCAGCCGGCCTCAGAACCATTAAACTGAGTTTTAGAGCTGTACCCTCATATGGAGATAATAGGAAGAGTTGCATAGCCATTATCAAGGAGGCATAAGCAAAATTCTATGAGTAGAGTCAAGGAGATCCAGCATTCATCATCCTAGGCAGGAAACAATGTAACACAGGTTACATCTACGCCAGCCTAGTAGATGAAGAAGGGGTTCGAGGCAGAATTTTTCTGCTTACCCCTAAAGTCTTTGCCTAGAAGGCCTTCTATAAGACAGTAGCTGGATGCAGTTAACATCTGCCCAAGATGAGTGTTTTTATCGAGACACCATCTCTAGCCTTTACTCAACCAAGAGCCCCAAGGCAGGGGAATTTTTAGTCGTTTTTTTTAGAGTTTATTTCTCCTAGCCTTTGCCTAAGAAGAGCACACTCTGCAAGGCAGCAGGGCTTGTGGCAGGTGGTACTGGGTTACGTGATACCAGTAGCAAGATTGATCTTGATTATCCTGACCTGACCTAGAGTAGTTTAAAAGAGTTACTTCCCGCAACAGTCCTTTGAGAAAACCAGGCATGACATTTTAAAAGTGCATAGGAAAAACACTGCATCAAACAAAACACAGGAGTCTAAGGTGAATGTAGGTTTTGTAGTTGGAGTAAGTAGCTAGTTACTGAGCTCACGCTGCATCAGAGAATAAACAGAACACAAACAAACATAAATCAACTTACGGGTGAGTCAACACCGCGCCAGAGGTTCAGACAGAACACAAACATACATAAAAAACATAAAGTAACTTACGGGTGAACGAACAGCGCGCCAGAGGTTCAGACAGAACACAAACATACATATAAAGTAGATTACAGGTGAGCTAATACAGTAACTAAGGCACCTCCAGCTATATATATAAAAAAAAAATTACTTTAGGCGTGACTGATATAAGATAGTACTGATGACAGGAAGCACACTCCTTCCAGCCTTTGCTTAGAAAGCAAATCCTGCAAGGCAGCAGAACATGGAACAGGTTGCACTGGGTTACATGTTACCAGTAGCAGCATGATCATGAAGACCATACTCCTGACCTGACACAAAGACATTATATAGTAAAATGGTTAGTTTTTCAAATAAACAGAGTACAAAACGTAGTTACGTACAAAAACAAGTTAAATAACAACTATTTCTATCTAGTGTTGTTTTAATTATACATAACGGTCATACAAAAAGGTTTATGATATAGTTTATGTAACATGGCGCCGGCGGTTGGAACCGGCTTATAGTATGTTAGCATAAATGTCAAGCCGCCCCGCCTAATAGTAGCCGGCGGAGCCGCGCCGCCCTTTAGACACCCCATATTGATATATGTGATCTTGTTTTTTAAAATTAATGATGAGTATAACAATCTAACTCAAATGGCTGTAGATAAATTTAAACAAACTTATTTTAATAAATTATTCGATAAAGTAAAAGATTCATTGCAATAATGATTTGAATTATACAATTTTTTAAATCAAGTTTTCTATTTTCTTTTCAATATTAAAATGCTAAAAGCTATGAATACAAATGAATTTATTATTAATTGTTCAAATCTGGTCAAACACTTTTAGAAAGGAATCTGGAAGAATTATAGCTAAATGTATTATATATATATATATATATATATATATATATATATATATATATATATATATATATATATATATATATATATATATATATATATATATATATATATATATATATATATATATATATATATATATATATATATATATATATATATATATACACATATATAAATTAGTAGAAAATCACTTAGCAAAATTTTTTCTCATTTAACACTGTGTTTCAATAAAGACTCATCAGAAATGATGCATTTCTGATGAGTCTTTATTGATGAAACACAGTGTTAAATAGGAAAAAATTTTGCTAAGTGATTTTCTACTAATTTGTAATTGCTCTGTTCTTTTAAGAACATTGAGCACTCTTTTTGTAGAATACATTTTAAGTTGTTAAAATATATATATATATATATATATATATATATATATATATATATATATATATATATATATATATATATATATATATATATATATATATATATGGGCTCGTTATATATATATATATATTTATATATATATATATATATATATATATATATATATATATATATATATATATATATATATATATCCAATAATTTTAACAATACCCATTACTGTTGCTTTTTGTGAATGATCATTTTCAAAACTAAAATAATTAAAAATTATCTGCGTTCTTCAATATCACGGGAAAGAATTTAAGTATTAACAATACTGTCAATAGAAAATGCAACTACCAAAACAATAGATTACAATGATGTAATTGACGAATTTGCAAGCAAAAGGGCTCGTTAAATTGATTTACAATTTCTTTGTATAACTGTTTTTTAGAAATAAAACCAATAAAAATAAATTCTATAAAGGTGGAAAAAAAATTTTTAAGGGCCCCAAAACATTACAGCTCAGGGTCCCAAAAAGTTACAGCATGGCTCTTATGTTTTAAAACTAATATCTCTTGTTTCAGATTACAAAACAACTATTTACATTAATGAAACATTTTTTATAAATTGGGGTATAAAATTGCTTTTTTGGAGAGTATAAATAGTGGTTCTGCTTCCCTTCTGGTCTCTGGTACTTCTGGTTATGTCAGGGGACCAGAAGTAGTAGAACCACATTTAAAATTTGTTTTAATAACTTGTAGACTAATATTAATTTTTTTTTTTTTTAATTTTTTGGTGGTGGTGGTGGGTTGGTGGAGAGGTAAAAATGTTTATTCAAAACAAAAATGTTTAATTCTCTTTTACTCTCATAAAAGAGAATTAAACATTTTTTGTTTAATTCTCTTTTATAAGAATTAAGCAAAAATGTTTAATTCTCATAAAAGATTTATATGAGTTAAACATTTTTGATACTAGGGTGTGTTAAACATTTTTTATACTACGTTGTGTTAAAGACTTTTCAAATAATATTTAACATTGTAGTTATCAATTAGTTAAAAAATTTCACGTAACCTAGTTATACTATAATGACTATATTATATGACTATTATAACTAATTATTAACTAGATTATACTATATACTAATTTTCTAATATTATTACTATTATTATTGTTATTGTTATTATTGCTATTATTGTTATTATTATTTTTAATATAACTTTATTATACTATTCTTTTCCAAAAATCCTTCCAAAATTTTTATTTATAATTACTCATAATTTATAGTATAAATTATAGGTAAATATAAATGAAAATGTTGAAAGGATTTGTGAAAAATAATATAAATTAATTATTTGATTATATCTTTATCTGATGAGGATCAGTGATGTTATTAATATGCTTTAAGTCACCTTTATAAGACTAAAAATTATATTTATAAAAAATAATGTTTTTAGCTTCATAAATTTATTTATTTCTAAATTTTTTTTTTATAATTTATAATTATTATTTGCACTTAGTGTCATCAGAAAACTTTTTGCAACAAAAATAATTTTTGAAATGCATCGTATAGCATTATCTGTTATACCTGCAGTGGCTTGCAGTTTAATGATTGAAATACACCCTGTTACGAATGAAACTTCTCGACTTCAATGCCTGTATGATGTTGTGAACATTGCAAAAGCTTCCTTATGTAAACCAATAAGGGCTTCTGAACACCAAATGCAGCTTCTACAAGTGCAAGTATGCTTTTTAATATTTTTTAGTAATATTTTATTTGTTCCTTTAAAAGAATCATGTTAAGTTAGAAGTTTGATTTTATTTATTTGCCTTATTGTATTAAATTTATTTTAAATAGTTTTCTTTTCATTTGTTTGTATATTAAATATTAGTAACAATTGTTATTATTAAAAGTAATTAACTCCTCCTCTACTACTACTACTACTACTACTACTACTACTACTACTACTACTACTACTACTACTACTACTACTACTACTACTACTACTACTGCTACTACTACTACTGCTACTACTACTACTACTACTGCTAATACTACTACTACTACTACTACTACTACTACTACTACTACTACTACTACTACTACTACTACTACTACCACTACTACTATTACTACTCAGCCCTCGGAATTAGGGCTGGCATTCGGCAATGCCAACCTAACTGCCGACTTTAAAGTGTTTGAGGTTGGCAAAATGTTGCCGACTTTGTTTCTATGTTTTATGATAAGGGCTTTGTATCAAGTTTTTTTTTGCCGAACTGATGCTGATCTCTATAAGATTGAGGTCGGCAAACTTTTGCCAACCTCATTTTTCCTAATTCTGAGGATTGACTACTACTACTACTATTACTACTACTACTACTACTACTACTACTACTACTACTACTACTACTACTACTACTACTACTACTACTACTACTACTACTGTTGCTGCTGCTTAATAAGTGTACGGGGACCCAGCCTCGACTAAATATGAAGATTAGCACTGGTTAATTACCAGGATTAGGATATTTTTTATTATTTGACTTTTTTTTCACTGTTTTTATTTATTTAGTTCTTTTTAACTTGTTTAAATTTTTTTCTGTTAATAAAGTTATGAAAAAAAAGAACACAAATCAAAGTATATATTAAGTTTGTATTTAAAATATATCTAATTTGTTTTACTTATAACTTAATACAATTTGTATAAATTTACAATAACAAAAAACAAATTCGAAATTTTAAAATTTTTTGTTTCTTTTTTTGGGTCTGAAGCTTCAGGATCATAGATGTCAAAATAGTTTGAATTGAGTGGTGTTCTATATAGATTATATTATAGATATTGAATGAGAAAAAGTTCTTAAATTTTGTTAAAAAAAAAGTTGTTTCAATATTCTTCATAGTAAGTCTAATGCATTCTTTTCGAACTTTGAACTCCTGCTCACTTGTTGGTGAGCTTGAGGATAAACATAAATATAATTTGGCTAGTGTTAACAACTTGCTTTTTATCAAATTCTAATTTAATAATGGTAGCACTCAATTGTAGTAAAAATATGTCACTTTCTACATTATTATCTGATTCATCTTCTACTAAAATTATGTCCAACATTAATTTCCTTGAAAATATTCTGTACACCTTATAGTTTTTTAATTTTAAGTTATGTATAAAGTATTTATAGGTATAAGTAATTTTAAGTTATGACAAAAAAAACAACACATCTAATCTTTTTCTTAGAGTTCGTATTAATAAGGTATAAAGTATTGAATAAAAATGAGGTAATTCCCTGTTATTCAGGGTGGTAACCCTCCTTTAATGAAAAAGCAAAACGGTAGGCTTAAGAATGGTTAATGGTCTATCAGTTGATCCAACCAGAAAAATAGAAATTGTTTCCATCAAACTTTTGGATAAATGGTTGTTTGAGTTAAAATAATGTGTGGTTGAACTTAAATCTGAGGTTGAAAGTCTTTGTAGCAAAAATGCGAAGAAAGGTAATGTTATAAGCAAACTAAATGGCAAATTTTCCAAATTAAAAAGTATAACACCAGAATGTACTACTCAATTGGCACAACCTTCATATGTGGGTATTGCCTGGACTTGGCACCCACCAAAATCTTGCAATAATAAAGCATTATCATAAAACTCAAAAATAAGTAATAAAGCCATATTTATTGCATCAAAAGCAATCTTATTGGAAAAAAAAGAAGAATCTATTACAGTTCAAGATATTCTGCATTTACTAAATCTCATTGCCAATGTCAATGTATTAGTTTCAAACCAAAAAATAAATGTAAAAATGCAGCTGCAACTAACAGTTATAGTTGAATTTGAAAATAAAAACACCTATGTAAAGGTAAAAACATCCATATTATACCTGAAAGAACTATAGCTAAACAAGCTGATTTTGCTAAGTTATTCAAAGAAAGGCAGGAAGGTAATGAAGATCTATGCAAAAATTGTATTCTTGCATAGATTATAATCAGTCCTTGAGATTTGTCATTCCTGCTTATTTAATGGAAAAGAAAAATACTTGTTCATTGATACTAAAATAGCAATTGATGCTTAAAAACCTCAATACAAAACCTTGAGCAAAAATTATATTGTAAACAATAAAAAGAAACCTTTTATAAATTTTGTCAATAATAATAATAACTTCTCATAAGACAATCACTCTTTCCAGCTTAAATGTCTTTATAAAAACAACGTTAAAGACAAAAAAAAATTACTTAAACTATTTGATATTGCTCTCTCAACATCTGCAGACATATTTATTACCTAAACATGGTTAAGCGAAATATCATCTCCAAATATAAAAAATGGTTTAGTGAAATCTCCGAATATAAAAAATGATCTTTTCAGACATGGCAGAAAATGGTCATAGAGGAAGAGTTGCGGTTTATTAAAGAACTTGGTTTAACATAATTGAATTAAGTATTTCTCAAATTTATTCTTACTTTACTTTTGACCATTCTATGGCTTTCATTCCCAATCAGCAGCAGTAACAAGTTGCTGATTGAATGTATATACTGTCCACCGAAAATGATGGAAAAAACTGCCAATAAAATTAACAATTGTATAACTTAAGCTAAAAATTCTATCAATAGTAATTGTTTTTTAGTACTGTTACTCACAGGCAATTTTAACTATCCTAAGATTGTTTGGAATGATAACTATTCAACAAACTTCAAAGGACCAAGTAAACCAATAGAAGGAAATTTTATTATTATTATTATTGAATTGAAAACCGTAGTGTAAAAATTATATGGAAAGTAATCACATAAGAGATTATTTTATGTCAGTTAAAATTTACTTTTAACTTTTATCAATATTGTTTTTAAAAGAGTTTATCCTCTTCACATTAACAGTTTTTTATCTAAATTGTTCCAATTGTTACAAATTCGGTTTAAGAAATAGTTATGTCTTGCGTTACATTTTGGAGTGTATTTTCTTGAGAATCTGTAGTTGTGGTTTCTGCTTTTTTTCATTTAATACTCTGTTGGTTATAAAATTTATTGGTTTTTGTAATAAGATTTGATTGTAAACATACACTATTCTTTACATTTGTATAAGGTCCCCACAAATTCTTCTTTTCTCTAATGATTCCAGGTTAAAAACTTTAAGTCTGTTTTCATATTTGATTTTTTTTAAAGATGGGACCATTTTTGTCGCTCTTTTTTGAACTTTTTACAAATGATCTATATCTTGATATTGTCTAAATGTGGTCTTACAAGTGATGTTTATAATACTTTCATAGTGCAAACATCCAAATTTGTAAAAGTTTTATTAAGCATTCCCAAAATCTGGTTTGCACTATTTGCTTCTTTTATAGTTTGATTGTGCCATTTTAGTTTATTTGTTATAATAATACCCAGATCTTTTTTTATTTCTGTTTCTTGTAGTACTATATGTTCATTATTATTATTTATATTCATCATTTAATATTTGAATTTTTTGTTTTTTTCTCCAAAGTGCATAACTTTACATTTTTTTTCATTGAAACGCATACACTATAATTCTGCCCATTATTGCATAGATATAATATCATCTTGAAGCTTTGATCTTTCTGATTCGTTGTTAATTGTAGCACTTAATTTGCTATCATCAGCATATAGTTTTAATGGAAATTTTAGTGTGTCTTGTAAGTCATTAATATATATAACAAATAGAATAGGTCCTAAAACTGAACCTTGAGGAACACCGCTTAAGACTTCTCTCCACTCGGATTTTTGCTGACCCAAAACCACTCTTTGTCTTCTATTAGATAAGAAACTGTGAAACCATTTAACCAATTTATTTGAAAAGCCATAATTTTTTATCTTGTGCACTAACTTTAGGTGTGAAACATTATCAAAGGCTTTTGCTAAGTCAAAATATACAACATCTACTGAAGTCTTATTGTTTAGATGGTTCGTTATTTCATCAATTGTTTCAAGTAAGTTAGTTATACATGATTTAGAAGGTACAAAACCATATTGATTTTTATTTATTAGATTGTTTTGTAGTAGATGATACATTGTTTTATCTTGAATTATTCTTTCAAACCTTCAACAAACAACTGGCTTAATAGATATTGGCCAATAGTTTGATGGATCTAATTTACTACCTCCATTCGCTAGTTTCTATTCTTCAGGAACTATTGCATCACTGTAACTTTTTGAGAAAATTAAAGTTAGTGGATATGACAGAGTTACGTTGCATTTCTTTAAGATTAATGGATGAATTTTATCAAGTCCAATCAATTTATTTTCGTTTAATTTTTCTAAGTGTTTTCCTATTATAACAGGAGAGAAGTCTTCATTATTTAGGTTTATAGATGGTCTTAGTTTAAAATATGGTAACACAGCAGGTATTTTTTCTTGGATAAACACAGAATGAAAATGTAAACCCAGAATATTTGATATTTTACTTTCCTAATCTTTTAATTTCTTGTTTGATTGATTTATTTTTATTAACGTAAGAATAGAATAATTTAGGATTTGTTTTAGATTTTTTTGCTATATTAGATTCATATTCATAAACTGCTGTATCAATTAGTTCTTTACACTTTTTACGTTGAATTATATATAGTTTCTTTAAAAAGTTTGATGATATATATTTAAACCAGTCTTTTTTTTAAATAATTTCTTTCTTTAGTTCTTTAGTTAACCATAATGGACCAATCTTGTTAATTCTTTTTTATTTTTTAGAATTAGTTAATTCTTTAATTCTTTAGTTAACCATAATGGACCAATCTTTGACTGGACATTT